GCACTTCTTCAAACTGGGTGTGCTGAGACAAGAATATTCCCTTTTCCCTATACTATACACTACAAAACACCTTAGCTCCAGCGGGCCAGGTAATCCCTGAAGCTTTATCTGGCCTTGGCCCATTCTGTGGTGTGAGAAGGTGCACAGTGCTTTGTCAGTCAGTGGAGGTTCTGCACAGGCAGCTGCACAGACTCCAGCCTGCAGCTCAGGACAGGCAGGTAGGGGCTCTGGCTTCTGGAAAGGGCTGTACGGTCAGATATAGCAGCTATACGGTCAGACAGCAGGGCAGCAAAACCAAACACAGTAGCAGAGAGGGGGCTACAGTACAAAGGTAACTGTCAGCATTTCACAGCTGTCTGGGAACACACGTGTGTGCCCTGGAATACACAGGTGACATGTGCACTGTTAGCTATTAAGTATCATTAATTCCTTATTATTAGTAGTAGTCCCACCTCAACACCTCAGTTCAAAGGCAAATCTGAGCCATTTCAGTGTCTGCTGCTTCTTGCTGTTGGGATGCAGAGCGGGAACCTCCGGGTCAGTCATCGACACAGATGTCGCACCAGCTGCTCAAACTGCTCCCGCTGCTGGTAGATGTAGAGCTGGGTGTCCCAGAGCGCGTTCACCAGCACCGTGTCGTTTACCTCGTCCAGCATCACCTCCGTGTGCAGCTGAGGGCTGAGCCTGCATAGAGCAAAGACGGCATCACCAGCTGGGCACAGGCACCGGCACCTTCCCCCATTTTCCAGGCCGAGCCACAGCTCAGCAGCTGCATCCCCTAAGGCACCGGTCTCAAAACATGCTGCATGTGGTGGAAGAGGGCAGGGTGCACATCCCTGAAAGGACCCTGTTAGGCAGCATCCCCTGACCTCCACCAACCCTGGATGAGCTGTGCTCAGGGCATCAGCTCATACATTGAGCCGCAGCATCCTCCGTTATGTCACTGAGGCATGAGGAAAGGGGGCAGGGGGCTAGGTTTATGCAGGCGTGCTCTGGAGGGGACATTATTTGGGATGACGCATGCCGCGGCCAGGTCTGAAGTGAAAGGAATAAAAATAGGTCTGTGAAGAGAGAGGAAAGGAAGCTCCTACCGGAAATACGGGACATCTGTCATCTCACACCAGGCCCTGGCACGCTCCACAGCTGGGCCATCTGCGTCAGTGCACTGCAGGAGAAATAGGCCCACAGTTAGAGCCCGACTGTCACTCTGTTCTCCCCCTGCCTGTAAGAGGCTCCCCTGGCACCCAGTCGAACTGCACAAGCTGCAGAGGGGGAGGGAAAATCAGGAGCAAGTGTGTCCTGGATGGCACCATTCACCACCAAGCGTGGGGTGTCTTTCTATTTGTTTTATTGTTACATTTTTTAATACAAGACCAGTACGTTCCTGATCCTTGGGAGGCAAGGAATTGCACCCTACAGATCCTCCACCCATCACAGCACTGAGTGGATTCCCTTAAAGAAACCCCCAGGATGATCAGAATCACAGCCTGCTTGGGATTTCATCTCTATCCATTTCTTTCCAAGCCCAGCACCAGCAGAGCCTGTGACTACTAGAGGCTTTCTGGGCTATCCCAGAACAACTTCCCTGCGAGCCCTGCAATCAACGACAGGGCTCTGTCCCTCTATAAAAGCAGAAGTACCTCTCAGGGTGTTTTCTGGCTTTAGGAAGCTAAAAGGAGATAAAGCAAAGCAATCAGAATCTCAGTTCTGTCTTTCTGTCTTTCATTCATTTGGACCATTTTCACGCACCACATTTAATGAGCTTCTTTCTGAAGCATGCAAGAACATATGCCTATTACACACTCCTAACCACAGCTCTGAACTACTGCTTTTTATTAGGGACAGTCGCACTTCTCTAGCATCTACTAATTTCCCCAGTTGGGATAACAAAGGTTTTGTACAGAAAAATTAACAGCAGTTTTCCAAAGCATGATTTTTTTTGTTTTTTGTCCAGGTTGCTCCAATGATAATCCATGCTCCCTGGAAAGATAGTGAGTTTCAAGAACTCACACCTGCAAATGTTCTTAAGGGTCACTAACCACCGTCTTGTTCTAAGCTGCAAGCACCTCCCTTGGCACTCAAAACCCCAAAGAGGCTGACAAGACCTCAGACCTGCTGCAACCCCACAACTTGTAAGTTACCCACTACATCCACTCCTTGAACCAGTCATAGTCAGAGCAGTTCCAAGGAACATAATTTCCTCCCCAAACGAAGACACTGATGACTGGAAACCTTTGCCCCCTCCCTGCAAGGAGCCCCAGTGGTCTTCCCCCATCATCTCCCAGTACTCACACAATCCACCACCATCTTGCCGAGCTCCCTGGCCCCAAAGACAGTCTTTGCCAGCTCCCAAGGGTTGGAGGGGCGGAAAACATCCACAGAGCTCACTGGGACCTGCGGAGGCTTCCCTGTCCCCAGGGAGACCACCAACCCCAATTTTCTTACTTCCTGCTTCCGGCCCTGCGGACAAACAGAAGATTCATTTGAAAGGACCAACAATTAAGGCAGAGCCCATCTTTCACAGCAGTCTCAGAGAAGCTCTTAAAGCCAAGGCAAAAGGCTCGGTAGCCTCTTCTCTCCCATATCCCTCCCCTCTAGCACCACCTGGTGAGAGGGATGATCCACGGGACTTCAACAGTTACAGCATTCTGCCCCTTATACCCCTGGCTGCACTCAGACCCATGGGATCACCCCAAAGATGAGTCCTAGGACCAGACAACTGTGAAACAGTCCAATTCTTTCAGTCATTTTGGCAACAAACCTCCCCTTTTAGCTACGGGAAGCAGGAGCTGCCAGCAGTCAATCGTCTTTCTGAGGAACTTGCCACATGACAGAAGGCACTCCCTCTTCAGCCCTGCAGAGTGCCCTACCATTGTCTTACCTGGGGGCAGAAAAAGGCTCTGCGGAGCAGCATCAAGGGCAAGAGCAGGCTGAGGGGCTGCCTCCCTGTCTCACACTTGTCTGAAGAGGTATTTCGCCTCTCAGCCACCATTCCCAATGCATAGCCTCCCCCTCCATGCATTCCCTTCCAGGTTGCTGCACTGCTCACTTGTTTATCCACTAGAGGCATCTGTTCCCAAACCCTCCTTCCCTTCAAGGGAAGCTCAGTGGAGGCAACAAAGCCCCAGTCACCCACCAGGGCCAGGATTCCCCTCACCTTCTTGATCAGCGTCTTGTTGTACTCGTGAATCTCCGTCATGGCATCGAGGGTTGGGTTGTTGGCTAGCAGCCCGCCATCCAGAAAGCGGCCTATCGGCCGAAAATAAGTAGGGGCCGCACCACTGCAGCGGGCAGCGCGCCACACAAGCTGATCTGGAAGGAGAGAAAGCACACGGCCTCTCGCAGCAACTTGCCTGCATGCACCGCGCCTTCACCAACACAAAGCAGGAGGGCTTGCCATCCCCAAAGACCCTGCCCTAAATAGCCGGGCCTCTTCTTGGATGCACAGATTATTGGGGGGGGTGTGTGTGTGTGTGTGTTTAAAAGTTGTTCTCACCACTTTCTACCTATCCTGGGTCAAATTTGCTCTACCAACTTCACTGCTGCAATATTGTTGGCAAACCAGTTAAAAGCAGCAAGCTGAAGGGGGCTGCATGCTTCAGTTATACGAGTTTTCCATGCTAAACTGCTCCTGAGAGCCCAGGGAAAAGCACTGACTGTACACAGGACCCCTCTAGCAGACCCCTTCCCTTGTGAACCTCGCCAGCCAGCCCTTGTTCCAGGAGAAACAAGGGGAGGAGGAGAGAGGAGAAAAGGGAACCATCACCAGGACCAAGCTAGAAGTCAAAATCAGAGATGAGCTACTGCTGAGATATCTCAATTTTCAGAGCAATGGGAGGAAGAACAGGAAATCTTCTGTCTCAGAGGGGCAGCCCCCTCCTCTACCAATAAGGAGCACTGCTGTGTGCCAGCATTTACCTTCTGGCTGAGTGAGTGGTTTGAAAGATGCACTTGTCTTGTATTCCGTGGAGATTTTTGTCTCCGGAACAGGGTAATTCCGGAACAGGTGGAGCTCAGCTGGTTGCCGGTCGCACAACGTCCCTGTCACCATAACCCTGGGGGAGAGGACATGTCAGAATAAGAGTAAAATGGGGAAAAAAAAGTACTTCAATATCCTCCACATCACACTTCTCTGGATCTATTCTAAGGAGAGGCTGAGCATCTCTGCTGAGAGGGATCTAGAACACACTCAGGAGAGCATCAACCAGCACAGCCCCTGGCAGGACTTACTTGGGTTTTTGGACATCTGTCATTTTGGTGTTTTCCCCAAACTCCTTCTTCAAGAACTCATCCAGGGGCTCCGACTCGTAGGGCCGAGACCCCCGGAACACCATGTCCTTCATGCGGAAGTACAGGCAGCGCATGTAGTCCATGGACTTCCCTGAGACGGGTAACAGCGTCGGCAGGAGCAGGGAGTGGGAGGGAGGGCAGGCAGAACAAAGAGCACATCAGAGCTGGGACTTTCCAGGACCAGTGGGAGATTGGAGGCGTCACTCCCAATCCCATTCCTTCCCAAACTGCTGCCTGTCACCTGCTTGGACTTCAGCAGCACGACTGGGAAGGATAAAAGAGGAAGGGCAAGCTCAGAGCAGAGTTTCCCACTATCAGAAAGTGCCGATCACCCTGCCGTAACATCCCCGCAGAGGAGAGCAGGAAGAACAGAACGCAGCGCTCCACCACAACGCGCTTACCAAAACCCAGAAAGCTGTTCAAGGCCAGCTGACATGAGAAGCAAGTGTAAAGCTAAATCTAAGCTTTCTTTCATTAACGAACACCATTTCCCTCCTTTGACAGGGACAACAGATCTCAGTCTTGACTCAGAGAGGCAGCTCACACCTCACATATGCTCCCCACAGGAGAGCGCTGGGCCCACAGGACAAGAAGGGGCCCGTGATTTGCGCCATCCTCACCGTGTACAATAGCCAAAGCCAAGATCCCACCGGTGCTGGTCCCAGCAATCCAGTCAAAAATCTCACGAATGGGACGGCCCGCAGCCTTTTCGATAGCCAGGAGGAGCTGGATGAGCACCAGGCCCCGGATGCCTCCTCCATCCAAGCACAGGAGGCGATCGTGACTGGAGAGAGACACACAGAGATGACTGGGAGCTGTGGGACAGCTCACAAATCACAACATGCTGCATGGGAACGCCACCCTGGGGATGGGAAACTATGTCAGTTACAAGAACAGCAGCTGCAGACAGTGTAATTGTTGAACAAATAAACCCAGTGGTGCTTCCTCAGATGCCAGGAAGATCGCACACGGCCAGATAATCCTCGTCAGAGCTGGTGCTGCACCACTTGCTCTTTTAGCCATCTCTAACCTCCACCCCAGGAAGACACTTTCAAGCTGAAAACACATCCAAGTCCCTTACGATGCAGTAATGGGTTTTGTGTCATAAATAACAAGCAGACAGCTCTAAGTTCCTGCTAGCAGATGTCAACCCTTCCTCTCTCCACTTCAGGCGAGGCGAGGCGCAGGCACCGTCAAGGCAGTGCATGGCCTGGCAAAGGTGCTGGGCAAGCATCAGGGCAGAGCGTGGAGATGGGAAAATCACAAAGCCACAGCAGTGGTTGGTGCCCAGAGGCGGAGGGAAGGGACAGAGCAGGGATTTCACCTGCTGAGCTCGGGGCTCCACTGCAGTGTCAGGGCTGCAGGCAGGAACAGGAGGTGGCTGATTATGGGAACAGAGACTTACTGCAAGGTTCTGGCAAAAAATGCAACATCGATGGACATTAAACAATGTCAGCTCTGCAGACACCACACCTGTAGGCGTGGGTGGGGAGAATTCACACACATGGATTTCACCATCAAGCTACATGGGAGCTGGACAGAAGCTGTCCCTCACTTACTTTCTTCTACCCACACTGTCTGAGTCCACAACATCAGGTGCCTTCACCAACTGTCCAAGCGTTGCGGAAACATACAGAAGATCCTTGTACCCTAGAGAGCCATGAATATGCAAAAGGAAAAAAAAATTACAGACTGCTTTGCTACCTGAACCCTCTGATGTGTGCCTCAGAGATAGAAGTCAAGGAAATTCTAATTAAACAATTAGAAAACCTTCAATTACTCTTCAGACTTTCTCTCTACCCCTAGAAAGCTTGGTCAAGGTACCCAAACCTCCCACCAGTGTGGTAAATAATTTCCACCCTAATGACACCAAGTACATCCAACTTCCTTCCCAAGTGAATAAAGGTCCCTGCAGGAGACACAAGCCACTTGACCCACAGCCACCAGGTTATCGCCCCCTCCCCAAGATTAAACTCTGCAGCAAAGAAGTGAAACCCCATCCTTTGGAGCAGGCAGCTGAAGATGAACTGGTGAAGACGAAAGGTTTGTAGAAGCAGATGATGAGCACGACAGGCGAGAGCGAAGACAAAGTCTAGCAGCGTGCCCACTACACAGCTTACTGCAAGCCCTAAGATAAAACCTAAATCTACTCCTGCGAGGTAAGTTAGGCAGGAGGGCTGTGGGGACAGGGTGGCTTGTTATTACCCCTTAGCTGATGTACACTCAGGCTACCCAGGGTGCAGGGCACCAATCCGGGCTAGGTGAGAAGCCAGCCTGTGAAACCAAAAGAAAAGACAACAGGGGGAGAGAAGTTAAATACTCCTGCTAGTGCCCAGCCCAGAAGGTGGCTGTGGATGACAATGTGGTAAGCAGCTTCTTCAAGGGCCAGAGTCCATGATGAAAAAGGGCCTTGCTCTGTCACTGCACCAGAGCCAAAACTGGGGGGAGTCACCTTCACAAGGCTGTGGTGAGAAGAAAGTCCTGGTGTCAACAGCCAGTGAGACTTGTGGTGACACAGACACACTCCAGGGCCTGGGGAGAGTTGTCCTCTAGCCCCACAGGAGGGCCTTTGCAAAGGAAACCACCAACCTGAGAAGGAAAGTGGATCACAAGCAGCTGTTATCCGCCTGCACGTCCCTCCCACAAGAGTCAAAACCTCCTTCCAAGACAACTCACCCACTCCCCACTCCGTAACCCCCCTCCACTGCCTCAGCCAGAGGTCTGGAGCTCCCCGGAGGAAAGTCCAGCACCTAGAATAAACCCACGGACTTATTCACACAGCGTGGGCAGTACAGAGCACAAGCTATGACACAATCGTACGTCCCAATGCAGGTTTTTGCAATGCCTAAGGTAAGCCCTGCAACCAGGGTCGCTTACCCTTGAGCTTCATCCCCACCCTCCAAGATCTGAATGAGCAACACTTCTAATTTCCTTGCGTCCACCATGATACTGGGAGGTCCTCAAGGCAGACCAGCAAGTACATGACCCTTCCATACATGACCCAGCAGATAAAGTACATGCAGGCAACTAAAGTCCTACACCTCTTCCAGAGGGGTCAGGGAATCAGCCTTCCCTTTCCTTTTTACAGAGTTGCATTGCCTCAGATCTATAAAACAACAGAGTATAAGAGCTCAGAGTACACAGAGAAAAAACAGAGAAAAGAGGTATGATCCTGCAACAGCTGAATGTGAACAGAGTCACCAGAAGCCGAGAGTGAGGAGACAGTCCCCAGAGCATGGCCCATTTGGAGATCCAAGACAGCACTGTGAAGCAAGAAGGGAAGAAAGCAATGGAGGGCCAGGGAAGGCTTTACCTAAGCTGTTGAAGCTGCTCCGCGAGGAAGGTTGGCCTTCCAGGAAGGAGGCGGCAGATGGTGCCAGGCTTGGGGAGTCAGGGTTGGGTGGGTGGCAGCGTTCGGTCCCTATAGTTTGCAGCAGGTCTAAGAGCACTTTCCGGTTCGCACCTTCGGTGACGGAGGGGGAGTCACAGATCAGAAAGAGAATCAGTTGCACGCACGCACCAGAGATGGGGCTCTGCCCAAGTCACAGCAGCCCTGCCACTCACAAAACCTCTGGGATGACCCAGGGAAAGGGAAAGCAGGTCCTGGGTATCTCTTCCCAAACACCAGTAGCAGGACTTGTGCGCAGCAAGGGGCACTCAACGCTGGGCAGCTTCAAGGGTGTGTGCCACATGCTTCTTGCCATTGAAGAACCGCCCGTGTCTGCT